GCTGGCTGGGGAATTCTGGGAGTTGAAGTCCACCCATCTGAAAGTTGCCAAGCTTGAGAAACACTGAGCCAGGGTCACACATTGTGCTAAACTGAAGGCAAAGGACAGCCATGATGGCTTACTGTAGCAAATAAATCAGCCTCCAAAAGAGGACTTGGAATTTGAGACTGACATTCCAGGGGCAAAAGATCTACAGGGGATCCCCTCTTTCTCTCTGCACCCCCAACCGCTCAATTGCCTCTCCCATATTTTTACCCAGGCCCGGTCACCTGCCCACTCATGAGGCTGGAGCAAAAGGATGCTCAGAAGCTTCATCTGTTGCTATGGAAGCCCCAGTACCAACGAGGAGTCAGCGACCACAAGCATCTGAGGCCAAGGGAGGGAAGTTACAGTCCTCCAGTCTCTGATGGGACTCCCAAAGGCACCGATCAATTTCTAAGAGCCGCTGGGTTTGTAATCATCGTTTGCCCCAGACCAGCATGGAAAAAAAGGAGAGAGGGATGAATTCAGGTGGCCCTCCAAGCACTAAAAAAAAAAGATGTAGCTTAGTCCTGCTGGGTTATTCCTAGCAGTTTGCTTAAGTCTATGCTAAGAATGAACAAGAGGGAAATGCTTTTTAAACGTCTGCCAGGAATGGGCAAAAGGCCCATCAGCAGTGTTTCTCAACCCTGGCAATTTTCAGATGTGTGGACTTCAACTCCCAGAATTCTGCCTGGCTGGGGAATTCTAGGAGTTGAAGTCCACCCAACTTAAAGTTGCTGAGGTTGAAGAACCCTGTTTTACAGTATAAGGACCCAGGGTTCAAATAACTAAAATAGAGGACTCCGAGAGGAGAGGTCCAGATTCAATCTTCCACTGCGCCAAAGGAAGATCCATGGAGAGTTTTAACCATTCAGCACTCCCCAGGCCAATCTTCCTACCTCGCAGGGTTGTCTGCTGTACAATCAAATCGGAGGAGAAAATACACTTTTGGAAAAAGAGCAGAAGATACGTTTAACAGAAGTTCCAGAAAGCAACAGGGTGGGAACAACTGGCAAAGGATAAAGGGGAGCAGGATGTTAGAATTGTGTGGCTTTATTAAGCCTCCCCATGACCCCCCTGCCCTATAACTTTATCTGATCAGTTTTGAGACAGAAACCAGATGGCCAACTCGATTCTATATATGGATATGCAGAAGCTAGCCCCACTGGCTGAGTTCCTGCAACACACTGAAGTGGGACAGGCGAGTTTGTGGTTCAGTAAATTAACCTAGCCCACAGTTTACTAGTTGGAGACACTATGTTTTATGAGCACAGTCCTTGTGTTTAAATCCAAGATGCTGGGGGAAGCCAGCCAATATATTCAGATAGGGGTACAGACTTGCAACCTTAGTGCTCTACCCTGGTTTACCCTCCCACCCCCCAGTAAGAAAGGTTGGAAGGGTTGGGTTGTAAACTGCCCAGAGTTCGGCTTTAAGAAGGGGCGGCTACACAAATGTTACAAACAAACAAACAAATTTTAAAAAATTATTTATTTTGCGGGGCCATTTATTGCCAATTGTTTCTGCATGCCCCGAGAGTTGATATATTAGAGAGGGCCATTTTGTGGGATCTAAGCGTTGTGACTTCTGTCACAGTGCCTACCTGTGGCACAACATACCCCTGGAAATCCGGATGCCCCTGACCCTGTTGGTTTTTGGTAAGGCACCGAAGACCTGATTGTCCCCCAGGTTTTGGGCCAGGAGGTGAAGTGAGCTGACGGTTGAATCGCTTGGGTCCAGTCCTTGAACTAGAGGAGGAAAGTTCTTGTTCGTTCTGGTTATTTAGATTGTGTTTCTGTTATGGTTTTAAGCCCTTTGTCGGCCATCTAGTTCCCCTGTGAAATGGGTGACTAAGTAAATGAATAAAGTAACAGCCAACCGCTTCTACAAGAATGTCACGAAGAAAACTATATGGATTAGTTCCTGCACAGTCACTAGGGTTGACATGAAAGACCATAATGACGACAACAACTAGCTATGACACATTTGCACCTCACCAAAAACCAAAGAAAACGATTCTCCCTCTCTCTTCCAAACTACTGATATACCAAATTATGCCAACTTCTTCAAAGAAGACTCATATAAAGAGTCGTTTCATGAGATGGGTGGTGACAAATTTGATGAATAAATATAATTAGACAGAGGGTTTTTTTTTTAAACCAAATAACTGCAGTAAGTTATCAACGTGTCAACCTCCTCAGTGGGGCCTCTGGTAGATGCTGAATGCTACAAAGAAAAGGCTTGTGTGGAACATGGAGGGGTTGTACTCCTATGGAAAAAAGGTTTTCCAAGTTTTTTGAGGAAAGCTAAGGGTATTTTTCAGGGTGAGAACAATATTTGCTGGGGAGGGAAGGCACAGAGACACACAACAGGACTGAGCACACACAAACAGGAACATGACCACAACTACCTCCAATTCTTTCAGAACTCATACAAAAAGTGTCTGTGGTATGTGAAAACGCTTATTCTCCCCAATCTCTTGATCTATACATACACTGCAAAGTATCTAACAATCATCTACCCTCCAGGCTAGTATCAAAATTCCTGAAAAGGAATAGAAGAAAATGGAAATTGACAAAGGGATAGCACGAGCAGTATTAAAGCAAGGATTTTTTAAGGGCCAGATCTATTATCTAGAATTTTCCCAGGCTTTGGATCCACTTGAGTGTTTGACTAGAACCTCAAGATCCACCACTGAAACAGAATGGAATCAATTCTGAGCTCGGGACCTTGCTCTTTAATTTCAAAACAGAACTCATTATCTTATTCCCTGCCCAAAAACCCTCATTACTTCTCCAAAATGGCCTTAGCAGTGTAATTTACCATAGAACATAGAGGGGGTAATTGTTGCTTCTTTTGCTGAAATAAGAGTCAAAAAATCTCACCAGCTGATTTAGGTTTACCTTTTCCGCTTCCCTGGGACAGATATGTCTAAGTTTCTATGACCATTGATTTGAAAGTTTTGCTTGGAATTTTTAATATGTTTTACCACACAGGCTTTCCATGATCAGTCTCTGCATTCATTTTGGCAGGAACCGAATTTTTGTTGTGTTCTTTGCTGAGAGAGAAGGGATAAAAATCTCTTGAAAATTAACATCCAACAGGTTTATTCTTCTGATTAACAGACAGATGTGAGCTTTGTCCTATGCTCTTGAAAGGCAGAACTCAGGAATCTCAATGACCAACACAGATTTTAGTTTGCCATGATTAATTTAAAAGGGTCTGACAAGAATTACACAGCAACTCAGTTTGGCAACCCGAAGTCTCCTGCCTTTGAGCATTTCTTCTCTTCTTCAGCCAGCTGGACTCTGTGCAAACTTCAACTCCCATGCCACGAGGGGATGGGGCAAGATCCTTGTTTAGAGCATCACCTTTCCAAGGGGTCTGCCTCTCAGGCCGCTGTAGAAGCCGTCACGCTCTCCTTTTTCTTTGCTACCCGTTCAGCTGCTCTGGCTTCAGCCTCGGCCGCCAACTTTTCTTCGCGCTCCTTCAGGAAGACTCCATATTCTTCTGCGTTTAATCTAACCAGGGGGAGAGAAGAACAGAGATTTGCAGCCGCTTAAAACCCCTCTTTCACTGGTTGCTTGATGTACCTCAGAACTGCCCTGCCACTTTTCCCATTCACTTTCCCAACAAGGTTCCTGGGAAGCAGCCCCAGGTAGCAGGATGTCTTTCTCCTCTCTCAGAATCCTGGTCTCCCCCACCCTGGGAAAATGCACCAGGGAAAGAGAGCTCACTTCTGTTCATGGCTGCTCCTCTTGATACTCACTCTTTCACCACTTTGATTCCCAACGATCGGGCGCTTCCAATCAGGGTCTTGATGACCGTCTCTAGTGGCATGTCACGGAGCACAAATGCGGTGTCCTGGGATTTCACCAGAGCAATTTCATACAGGTGCTTCAGAGTCAGCATCCCGGCTACCTCATGTCCTACGGAGGATGGGGATGGTGTTAAAGCCCAAAGCAACCCCGACCTGCTGCCTGGTTGCTGAACTGAGCTGGGATGCTTTGGGCAGCCGATTACACCTAAGAGCAAGGTTGTCCCAGGGATGCCTCTCACCCGATTTCTTAAAAAGAAAAAGGGATTCAGTTATGGAAACCTTGGCAAAAAATGTTAGCTTTTAGAACGCAATTTATCTTCGCTAGGGTAGAACTTTCTTCATTGCCTTGGAGGCATCAGGAGAACTGGCTATCCATTTCCAGATAATGGAAGAACACGGTGTTCTAAACAAACAGCATTTTCCAGTCTCTCCCAGTCTTCCTCTTTCCTGTCACTAAAGTGCCTGTCACGCTACTTGGTAACCCCATTAAATTTAATCAAAGCCCACTGATAAAGGAAATCATTTTCCCCCAAAGAAAAGGGACGTGTGTGGAAGGACTGCAGATCATTCAAAAAATCTGGTGCTGGGTCTTAAGTCTACTTTCTGCCCCTGGACTAAACTCCACCCCTTCAATAGTATGGGGAGCTTGAAAACATCCACCCAAATCTACTGGTGTCACAAGGATCTTGCTTGCTGATGATTTGTCAGTGACTTGATCACACCAGGTACGTTGCAAATCCAGAGCAGCTAGGTTTCAAACTGTAATGGGGTATAAGAATAACTTTGGGAGACAGGAGGAAGAGCCGCAGCCTATCCAATAGTCTGATAAACCACACCCAAAGAGGATGGGGGTGAAGAATGCATCTCAAAAGAGACCCTCCCTACTTCTCAGAAGTGCAAATGTAAGGGACGGGAGAAGTACTTTCAGACTTGCAAGATTCTGTTACTGTAACTTACATTAAAGGCAGTGTTAGTACTTGTGGACTGTGCTTCTTGTATGAACTACCTCGAAGGGCTGACACAAACCTTCTATTTGGGCATGTGTTCCGCACCCAGCCCTATTGCCTGCTCTGTTCCCTTCACCCATCCTCCCTGCTCCAAGTCTCCTGGATTCTCCTCTCTCGTCTCTTCTCTTACCAGGAGATGAAGCTCCCTTTTCTAGGCCAGCTGCCGAAAGTAAAAAATAGGTGGTCGTTGGCTTGTTTATCTGAAGTTCATAGGACCTGTCGGACTACAGCAAATAATAAAAATGGAAAAAGGAGAATGCTGGGATTATATTAAAATATAAATTGAGAAATGTAATACATCAACGTTTTAATACATTATAAAAAGTTTTGTTTTTGTATTCTCTTTAATATAATGTTGGGCTTTTATCCTTACCTAACGACAATACTATACGTGGAAGATTTTTCCTGCTCATGCACAATCAAAGCATTTGGTCAGAACAGAAAATAAAGTACTCACTGCTCTTTGCTGTGGAGGAAAGCTGCTATTTTACATGTTCAGTTGCAATTCTTAGTTCCTTATTATTCTATATAATTAGAATATATCTAATGATTTATTACTAATTGATGTTTTGGAAAGTTATCGCCTCCATGGCATTTTTAAATCCCTGACTTATTGGTGTTACATTCTTTTATTCTTTTTCTTCACGTTCTTGCCGGTACTTGTTTATATATGTTCTTCAAAGTGCTCAATTAAAAAAAAAAAGGAATGCAGGAACCCACAGCTTGTCACTTGGAATCCTTTAAAAGAAGCTGCACCCCTCATGAGCCCAGAATTCAAGTGTATAGCATGCAAAATGTTTGAAAGAGCAGATGATCTCTGGGGCAGTTCCAGACCTGCTCCTGACCTGGTGGCTTCTGAATGTTGACTACAAATTCTGGGACTTCCACCCCAGCCCCTCCAGCTCGAAAAACTGTTTGAAATTAAGAAAGGAAGTTCTCTTTTCACCTTGATGTCAATACGTGTGGGTAGCGGGATGCCTGGTATGAAGTCCTTTGTCCGCTCATTGAAATCCTTGCAGAACTGTCCAATGGGAATACCGTACTATTTGTGGGGAGAGACAGAGGAGGTGTATTTAGTCAGTTTAAAACCTCAACAACCCAGGATCTTAATTTTTTCCCCAGAAGCTATAACATCTCTGTACTAATTGAACTCCATGTTGCACATGTTCTGGGTACTATATTTTTAAGAAAATTCAGAAAAAACAGGAGCAGATTAAGGGAACAAGGAGTGACTGGGGACTGAAACAAAGTCCTTGACGTCAAGGGACAGAGGGAACCCAGTACATTTAGGCTAAATTAACAAGTGTTTAAGAGGGCCAGCTCTGTTCAAATACCTGGAGGGGTGCCACAAATGCTGACAATCTATTCTCTATTTACTCAGAATATGGGAGATATTCTGAATAAAGGTCTTAAGTTACCCAAGACAGGTTCCACTTGAATGTTAGGAAAAACTTCTTAACAGAGCAGTTTGACGGCGGAACCAGTTATCAAGAGAAGCTGTTGGCTCTTCTTCAGTGGGTGACTATGTCTGTTGGGAAAGATTTAATTCAGCTCTCTGCTGGATTTCCTGACCTCAATATCCCTTCCCAGTTCCACAGGCTGGTGCAAAGAACACACTTCTCAGTGAAAGACCTAATCCTTGCATTCAGAGGGGTTAATTTAAACCTTGCTTGATTTATGGGGAGCTTACATTGTTGTGCGAAGCCAGAAAACTGGTGAAGTCTATAGTATCTTAAACTTGCTCCTACTCTTTGGAATCATTTCCTCCTCGAGTTACATTGAGAGTTCAATCTCATGAGGTTTTTAAATGACATTAAAATGCTTCTTTTTGAGGTCCTTTTTGAAAATGAAAGAACTATTCTGTTTGCAGTACCCAATACCAGTTCACATTATGGTTGTGCTGGGATTGGATAATTATTGTTAAATTGATTACAATGGATATAAGATTTTAATATTGCCTTTTAATTCATTTTTAGAGAGGGAGAGGGAGAGGGAGAGGGAGAGGGAGAGAGGGGTCAACTCAAGGCGGTGAACATGCCTAACACTCCTGTCTCCTATTTTCCCCACAACAACCCTGTGAGGTGGGCTGGGCTGAGAGAGAGGGACTGGCCCAAAGTCACCCAGCCAGCTTTCATGCCTAAGGGAGGCCTAGAACTCACATTCTCCTAGATTCTAAGCCAGCACCTTCACCACTACACCAAACTGGCTTATTTATACCATGTTCTGATTTTTACTGCAGTCTGGCTGTACTGTGCTTATGCCTAAGTGCATACCACATAAAAATAACTACTGAAACATGTTACGTGAATACAGCCAATGATTCTCTGATTCTCCATCTACCCGACATAGATCAGGGTTCTGGCAACTTTCTAGCAGAAAAAGCAGCTTGTGTTTCTCACAGATCATTCCAGAGGTTATTTAGCATTAACCTACATACCCTTATCCAAATGAACATTGGAGAATTCAGCAGAGTGTTTAAAATCACAAGACTCAAAGAATGTAAAAACTGGGAGGGATCTTGGAGATTAGCTTGTCCACCCCTTGCCTGGTATAAAAATCCACTACTATTTTATTTAGAGAATTTATATGGCTGGCTCATCTTAAATGCACAACCCTGGGCAGCCAACAACAACTCAGAAATAAATAACATAAAACCTTAAAACACAAATATAAACTGACTGAAAATAGACATAATACAATAGCTGGGCCCTATAACAAACTCAAAACACAGCTACACTTACACTGGGCTCAGGTAACATCCCAGCCCAGTGTCTAGGTGAAGAACTAGAACTTCACAGCTTCCTGGAAGGCCAGGAGGATCGGGCTCTCTGGATCTCAGGGAGAGACTGTTCCAGAGGGAAGGTGCTGTGAGCAAGAAGGCACATCTCCTAGATCCCACCAGATGACATTGTTTAATAGAGGAGATTTGAAGCTCGATCACCCTGTTGAATTTGATGGGGGGGGGTAGAAACCAGCCAATGGGATCTAACCGTTGCTTAAACGCCTCCAATGAAAGAGAGTCTGGCACCTCTAGAAACAGTGTGTCCCATTGCTGAACAACTCCTACCATTAGGACTTTTTCCTGAAGTCCAACCAAAATCTCCTTGTCATTTAAACCTCTGCTCCTTGTCCTGAATTCTGAAACAAATCTGAATGATTCTGACCTGACTTCTACACCACAGTTCTTCAGGTACCCGAGACGGCTATTCTGACTCCCAGGAATCTTCTCTTCTCCTTTCTAAACATGCCCAGTGCCTTTAACAATTCCTTATTTTTATTTAAAAAACAAAACCCTGACTTTACACAATTTTTCGAGTCATCAAGCTGATGATCATCAGCCAGCTCCAGGAATGAAGATCTGCCACCCAGGGATCTCTTTGTGGCAGGACTGGGCTTCTTGATGGAGATCTCAGCCAATCTGTGGGAATGGTGGTTAAAAATATTGCCCCTATGCGTCAAATGCCTGGTGGTCTTCTCTCTTACTATGGCCTGCTGGTGGTTATACCCTGCATCTTGCTGAATCAACTAGGTGTATGGTGACCTAGCCCTAGTTCTATCTACTGTTGTGGCTGGACAGCGTTACTGCAGCTACTCTGGTTATCCACAGGGGTCTGCTGCTCCTCAGGGATGATCAGTGTGTCCCCTCCTCCTTCCATGGAGGAATTTGCTTATTTGCCACTACTTGAAGTGTTGTAATGCACAGCAGCACCCAGACTATGGGTGTCCAAAGGCCAAAGGCCATTGTAATTACTCCCAGATCCACAAATCCAAAATCCAACCCTAACAAAACAACTCCACAAAACCACAAAAGCCCAGCAACAATATTCCAGAAACAGCCATCTTAATCTTTAGAGCTCAGTGCCACAGGAGGTGGGCACAGAAAAAAAAATTAGGAAAAAAAAATCAGATCAGTTTCCAGAAACAAGGGCGGAATTACTGCCCTCTCCTCCCCCAAAAGGCTGGGTGTGTACATCACACTAGACTAGGCTAAAATGTAGATGGGTAGTTTGTGGATTCTACGTTTTGTGGATACCCGTCCATTGCCTTAGCAGATTGCATAAATAAAGTCATCATGTTAAACCAGAATAACGTTTATTTTTGAGGCACACCATATTATGCGAACACAGCATGTGTGTTTTCCTTAAGAAATATTTAGTGAGTTATGTGAGCCCTGCCTATAAGTTCTTTCATTTATGCATGGCTAGCAATGTATGGCTGTGATAGGTGGACCATAAGGAAGGCTGAGCGCCGAAGAATTGATGCCTTTGAATTGTGGTGCTGGA